GGGGATTATTAAATAGGTTTTATTTATTAAATTCATTATTTTTCTGTCTAAGAGTCATCAATTTACTGATTTGATAGTAGGTATAAGAATTTTATAAATTTTCTTAGATACAACTTTATTTTATCCTCTAAATAGATAAATAGATAAATAATGCTTACTTTTTTGTGTGTCCTTTTGCTGCTTCAAAATGGTTTTACTTAAAGTTTCAAATTCTAGAAAACGTAAAATAATATTAAGTAACTATAATTATCATTTATTAATAAAAATTATTATGTAGGTACACATTATGTCATTATATCATAAGTTTATTTCTGAAAACGTGCATTTAAAAGTAATAAGTTATAATTTTACAAAAACCTTTTCTTTTATCTTATTATAAATATTGGAGTAATGGAGTAGGCCTATTATACTAATTTACCTATATAAAAATTATTTTTTAATACTAGTTAAATATTTCAATGTGATTTATTACTTGTATCAATGTATTTTTGAAGCTCTTCCATTGAATCAATATGATCAGTAGTTTGGTAATCAACAGCTTCTTGGTTGCAAACAATTAAATTATCATTTGACAGATTTAAATCTAAATTTATTCCTCTCATTTCATGTTCATCTTTTAACTCTATGTCAAGTATTTCTTCAGTCTCGTTTAATAAATGATCTAAAATATTAATTATGAGTGTAAATTATAAGAATGTACCTAATAAAAATAATAATATAATTAAAATTAGGTACCAGTTTGAGAAAATGTTGGAAAAGACGGTACTTTAATTTTTTTACTTTCACATTCTTCTTCACTATCATTAGAAGTATCTCCATCTAACAATTTAAAGTTTGGTTTTCTTGTGCGTTTTAGTGGTAAAACTGCTGTATTTTTTGGTATAATATTTTCTGTTCCTGATGAAATATCGGATTCGTATTGAGCATAATTAGCTTTATTCATAGCAACAAAATAATCACAATTTTTTTTTTTTGATAGAATTTAAAAAAAGCCTAAGAGGGGAAGGTACTCCTTCATCTATCTTGTCTTATTACAAAAAGAAATACCCTTATTATTTTCATCACCTTAATAATATGATTTAAAAAAAAAAAAATTAAAACTTTAATGACTCTCTGTAAATTGAAAAAAATTAAAAAAGACATCCCCTACACTGTGACACTGTGTGTTATTATTTTTTTTTAAATAAGGTTGTTTCTTTGCCATACTCTCTATATAATTAAATAATAAAATAAATATAATATAACATATTATATTGTAATATAATGTTTTTTTAAAATTGTTCACTCCCTCAGCATATCATTTCAGTGTTTTTCAGTTTTCCGGTACCACGGTTCTCGGTATTACGGTTTTTCGGTATTACGGTATACCATTTCATACCGGTACCGAATCTAATACCCCGATACCGGTTTCAAATTTCAATACCGTCAACCCTACCTAGTGATACCTAGTGACCTAGTGTACAACATTTAAAATAATATGTAAATTATCATTCATCTCACCTATTAATTATAATTTATTATACGGCTATAGTAATTAGTAAAGTAAGTACCTACTAGCTACCCACTGTGCAATATTTAATCCTAGAGACATCGAAGAGAGGTTATTTTGTGATTTGCGATGTTCATTATTTCATCCCAGTGATCTCTGTAAGATATCCCTGGGTATGCTAACGCCCAGTTGAGTGATATTATAATTGAACATCACTAGTCCATCACACATTCACCATCTATAGAACATCACACATTCACCATCTATAGTACATCACACATTCACCATCTATAGTACATCTATAAAATTACCTCGAAGCAACATTCATCTGTTACTACCTTAAGATAGAGATAGTTAAACTACTATGCAATGTTCACATTGTAACTACCTTGAGATGTTGATTTGTGCCCATAGGTATAAATAGGAGGGGGCTTAGCCCCTAGAATTTCTATACCCCCCCCCCCAAAACTAATGATTTCACAACTATAATTTAAAAGCATCACAAGAGTATCAAGTATAGACCTGAGCTACAGCCCTCCCAAATTTCAAACACAATTTACACATAGGTATAGGCGCAACCAATAGGAGGGGGTTTCCCGGGTTGAACCCCTCTTTAGAATACTAGTACATACTATACTTAAATAAAACCAGATTTTTTGCTTGAATTTAAATCTCTATTTGAACAAGTATGAACCACTCTCCCCTTGAAAAAATTCTGATGTTGATTATTTAACTTTTGTGGTTATTTTTTGATTTTTTAGTTAAAATATATTTTATTCTTATTAAACAAAATTTAAATTAAATGATACAAAATTTGGTTAGTATAATCACTTTTATTGAAATATATATATAATATAATATTTTATATTTAGTACATATTAATATATATAGCTTAACTATATTATGTAGTACACAAATTATTATAATACTGACAACATAATAATAAAATTATATAATTAATTGTAATACCTTATGTAAAATAACACTGTTTCAATAGGTATATAAAAAAAAATATATAATATTAATAATAATAAAAAACTGCAGTACTGTTGCAATAGGTAGGTATATAAAAAAAAAATATAATATTAATAATAATAAAATACCGTACTGTTGCAATAGGTATATGTATATAAAAAAAAAATATAAATAATAATAAAAAAAATAAAGTACTGTTGCAATAGGTATATATAAAAAAAAAAAATATTAATAATAATAAAAAAAAGGTGGGCAAGTGGGTGTCGCTCTGCTGTACAGTAGGTTACAAGTGGGTCGTTGTATAATGGATGGTATTAAATTTGAATTCAATGATATAATATCATTGTATAAGAAAAACGATTCTGAGCGGAGACGGTATGTCCTTCTAGGTAAAAGACATATTATATACATATCTATGGTATTAAAAAAAATTGACCTATAATGAATTCCAAATTAATCATATCACAATATCCATTAGGTACTTATAAAGCGTTATACACCAACAACAAACCCTGATACTATCATAGATATATATAGTAAATTACTTTAGAAATTTCAAGTACCCACGAATAATATTATACAATCACAACAAAATAACTAAAATCGTAATTCTTGGTTTAAATATGAAATTTTGTCTAAATTTGAAATTAAAATGTCTGTAAAAAATAAGTGTGTTTATATATTTTTTAGATTTTTTGGTTACAGTATGAATTATTTAAGAGAATCTTTGTTTTAAATTTTCAACTCTTAGTTATAAAAACTGAACATTTTATAATTTTTTAATTCCAACGATTGATAATTTTTGAGATTTTGATAAATTTTGTCAAAATTCCAACTTTAAATGCTTTTAAAAAAAAATCGTGCCTATGTATTTTTAATATTTTTCAACTGATATTGTAACAATATATCAGGAGCCTTGTATTAAATTTTTACACTTTTTGGCCCAACAGATAAAACTTTATTGATATTTATAGAAAAAAAAACTAAAAGAAATTGAAAACTGAAAATGTCCATAAACAGCTCAAAAAGAGTCAAAATATTTTCAAAGTTGTATGGTGTATAGAAAATGCTAATTTAAACATTCAGTGAAATTTTCATGTATCTACAGTTGTTCGTTTTTGAATTGCAACAAAATAAGGAAATCGCTACATGAGTAATCGAGTGAAAATCCAATGTTGTAAAAATTTGAATTTCAAACGCTCATAAAAATTTAATTTGACTGTCCGGTAGAGATTTTTTTATTGATAAAGGTAGATAATCTTATAAGGAATCTTGTGTTTCATTTTCAAATCTTAGATTTAAAAAGAAAAATTTTTACGAATTCTTAACTCAAAATAATTTGCTAATTTTCGTGATTTTTCCATATTTTGTCAATTTTTGAACTTTAAATGCTTATAAAAAAAAATTGTGACTAAGGATTTTTAATATTTTTCATCTGCCTTTGAAACAATATATTAGGAGCCTTCTATTAAATTTTCAAGCTTTCGCAACCAACAAATAAAATTTTATTGATATTTCTAAAAAAAAAACTAAAAAAAAATGAAAAATGAAAATGTCCCTAAACAGTTCAAAATAAATCAAAATATTTTGAAAATGTTATCGTGTATAGAAAATGCAAATATAAACAACCAGAGAAAATTTCATGTATCTACGGTCATTTGTTTTAAAGTTACACCAAAAACCAAATTCGATTTTTTGGAAAATCGATTTTGCGTAAAAATTCCTGTTTTTCCTTAATTTTTATGTTGTTTTTCCCGGCGCTTGTGAAAACTACTGGAAAATGTTTACTTTTGACCCCCCAAAGTACCAACTAGATTCACTTTCCTATCAGAAAAGGTACTATTGAAGAAAATCGAAGCACTTTTACTGTCCCAAAACGTGATGACAGACACAAAAAAAAATAAAAAAATAAAAAAAAATAAAAAAAAATAAAAAAAAAAATAAAAAAACACACATCATTGTAAAATCAATACATTCATCGTTTCACTCAGAATCTAAAAAAAATAAAGTACTGTTGCAATAGGTATAATTATTATAATTTAGTTCACTGTCATATTGATCATTCTGAAAAACAACAAAATATTTAAATAAATATTTTTATTATGTTTTATACATACCTATTATATTTCCATCAAATAAATGTATTATGACTTAAAGTCATGGCAATAGCCTTATTTTCTGATACATTAACAAAAAAACATTTATATTTTATGTCATTTAAACTTAATTGTACTAAACTTGACTGTGAATTAAGATCAACTATTACTGTACCTATTATATCAGATGGAATTGGAACATCAAAATAAGGTAATGATTTAAAATTACAGACCATCAGAAAAATATGCCCATCTTTAGATTTAACAATATGTTTTACTGAGGCAATTTCATGAGTTTTTAACATAATATAGTTATTTTTGGGATCTTTTGTGCTTATATAGTAATTTGTAGAATTTAAAGTAATTGATTCGTAAAATGTATATCCTTGATTATTAGATATTATTATGGATTTAATATCCATTTCACATTCTTTACCCAGTTTATAATTTTCATTTACAATTAATGTGTTTAAAATATTCATTTTTTCTGTTATTCTGTTAGCAGCCTCTTGTAGAGGATAACGAGAGTGGCTAATTTTTTTTTTATAATTCCTAAGTAATTTTCAAATTTGAAAGCACAAAAGTTATCTAGGCACCCATGTTTTTTAACGTAAAATGGTAAATGTATTAAGTTATGGACATTATAGGTTATAAATGATGCCCCATAAATAGTTCGATATTCTGTAACAAATTCAATTAGTAATTTATAAGCCAAGTCATTTTCAGTTATGCATATGTCTGGAGTAACTAATATTTTAATAGCGCATTGTAGTTTAAGAAAATGTAAATAAAATGATTTGTTTAGCCTTCCTTTAAATATTATTTGGCCTGTATACAACAACATATTTCTTAATTCAGTACCTTTATAGTTTTCTATATCGTTGAGTCCTCTTGGTAATCTAACAAACTCTGATGGAAAGTAATCTCTCAAACTGCTTAACTCAGAATCACAATCATTCAGCTTATCTATAGGTACCTAATCTCACAGATTTTTTTCCCCTAACCCAAAATTTTAATAGTCTTTTCATCACCCCTAAAATAACTACATGCAAATAATCTGATGGTATATCTTTAATCATATCAATGGGTAAGAGTTCTAATGGACTATACCCTTTGTGATATTCTTCATCAGACCTACTTCTAAAGGTAGTATCAGTTCTCAATGGGCTATTTACACCCAAAAATGTCATCCTTCTATCCTTAAATACTCCTTCCTCAGTACATGTGTTACAGCCCACACGTGAATTATGCCCTTTCACATTTAAAAGAAACGCCCAAGCCTGAGAATCACATATCACATTACTAACATTTACATTCATAATTTTATTGCCAACTTTAATTCCACTATTTATTAACTCAACAGTTTCACTAACAAACATATTTAAATAACTTTCAATGGATTCTGATTTCTTTTCGTTACTATAATATATACCTATTGCAAAAACTACTTGGGATAATTGAGGAACATTAGATATTACACAAAGTATTGGCCAAAACTGTTGCCTTGAACTTTTTGATAAGGGTAATCCATCACTATTTATGCTTAAATTAATTTCATTGAAATTGTCTAAGATATGTTTATGGGTGTCTATAAAATATAGCAACATTTTTTTTAATCCAAAATAAATGTATATCCCTGGAGGTATTTCTACTATTGTATGAGATCTAGGTGTATTCATTAAAGTTCTAACATCAGTGGGTAAATCTAATCCTTCTGATCGCAAAATTTTCAACAGTTTATTAACATTATTTTTTGATGTATTAGATTCTAAAACCCACTGTTGGAGTTTTTCTTTTATATTAGGAACATACCCTGGAACTATTTTAACATCACTACTGCATGTAATAGGCATTTTTGATTGTAGTTCTGATTCAGGTAATATGTCAAATTCATTTAAAAACTCAAAACCAATATGTGCATCAGTACTTGAATAAAGTTTATCATTTTCAATAGATTCTACATTGGGATATTGATTGTGTATTATTTTTGTTGTTGATGTTGTTGTTGGAGATAGACATACCTTTTTAATTAATGAGCCTTGAGCTTTTGGCGCACTAAAACGAGCAGATTTTCCAGGGTCTGTAGTACCAAGCAGTCGCTTGAAGTGACGAAGCGACATATTTTCAATTTGTTTCCGCTTCTTTCGAGGAATCTGTAATAATAATAAAAAAAAAAAATAATATATATTATACTAAAAGGTAATATAATAGTTAGTTTAAAATATAACCAATTTAAAAGCAATCAATATTAGGTACCTACCTACATAATTATAATTAATTTAGTCATATTATATATTTTTATCCACAGCAGTGTAATTTTATTAATGATACCTAGTTATTTTAGATTTTAGTTATTTAAAAAAAAAACATTTATAAATTGTTTAATACATTTTTTAATATATTTTAACATAGTACACATACCTATGATAACAGCTCTCTTTAAGCGCTGAGCCCCATGCCTGAACCATTCTTTAATCAGCAACTCAAAAGTATTCTCATCATTTTTATAAAGTTCGTGACTAAGTCCTGTGTGGGAAAATCATGATTTTAAAAATTATAAATGTTGGTGCATAAAAAATACATTCAGAGATGCTATCACCAATAAAATGTACAAAATAAAAAACTGTATTATTTGTTTAAAAATATCTACATAATATAAATTAATTTATTTTAAATTCACCTTAAAAAGTGAGAATAATTGGTTATTTAAAATTAAAATTAAATGTCAGTAATAGTGACCTAACTATTACCTATAAAACAGCCTTACAACTAAATAATATGTTAATATTATTATATGTTATATATTATGTAGAATTTAAAAAAATATTAATGTATAACGACTTATTACTTTTCATAGTTTGTATTATCATTAAATTGTCCAAGCGAAAGTTTTGCTTCTGCCCTGTCCAGGAACATTTAGAAGCGAGTTCGTTAGTAAATATTTTTGATAAAACACGTTTAATAAAATTTTTTGCACTTGAGCCACCAATTGAAGAAATCAGATTTGTCTAAAATAAAATAAAATAGTTTATCTTATTGTTTGTAAATAATACAATTTAGGTACCTAGGTATTTTGTTTTATTACCAATTTTGTCAAATACTCCTGATCTGTTTTAAACATTTCATCTACATTTTTCAAAGTCTCAACATCATTTATAGGGAATTTATCTAAAAATGTTGTATCTATTGAAGAAGAGTGATTTGAAGTTGCAGGATGATGTTTAAGAATATCTAAAATAATATCTAATTTTTTATCTATTCTGGTTAAGTACAGATTTAGATTTGTATCCTCTATTTTTCTTTGGTCGTATCCAATATTTTCTAAATCTATAAATGATGACAGATTTCATTTAAATAATAAAATACATATCAGTTTTGTATTTGAACAGTATAACTAAAAAATATAAAAAAATATTTAAATAAAGAATTATCATATATAAATTAAAAAATCTATATGTCCATACATTTAAATGTAACATAAAATACTGTAAATTATAGAATTTATTCTTATATATTCCTAGATACAAGTAAATATTGTAATTACCAGGTAAATTATCAAAATCAAAGTTTTGCCCAAAAGCCGTTGGGGATTTAGTGTTGATACCTTATTAAATTAAATCATAATTATTAGCAGAAGAAATATTCAATAAAACATATTATTATTCCATTTACTTGAACCGATTGGCATCAAATTATTTCTTCCTTGTGATGATTGTATTGCAGAATTTGAAATGCCAAAATTATTATAAGTATACATTTGATTTGTTAGTAAATTGTTATTATGAGATAATAAATCAGCATTATTTAAATTGACTTCAGTCGCCGGAATTTGATTTACTTTTGTAGATGCTTCAGGATTTAAAATATGTTCTATTAAGGAATAAAAAAGTTTAAATAATTTTAATTATAAACTATAAAAATATATATTGTTAAGTTTTATACCAAGCACTTTTATATATAATATAAAATATTATTATATGTATATTATGCATTCATGAATTAAAAAAAAAAAAATAATAATAATAATGGAGATATTACGTGTAAAGTTATCGTTGTTGTTTGATGTTGAGCCATTTTCATATAATGTTTTCAAAGCAGCTATAAGTAACAATTTAAATTAAAATATGAAGTTGAAAATAATAATGAAACAAACTCTTCTTACATGATATACAGTTAGCATTGTAATTTGAATGTGATGTATTTGTTTTTGCTTTCTTTTTTACATTTATTATATCTTCATCACTACTCGAGCCTATATAATAATAATTTACTTTTATTTACCTATTTATCTACGAATAATGAATATTTTAATTAAACAAGTACATCATTTCAGTTTTTTAATTATGTACTATGGTGCCAAAATATTTGCAGTCCATTTTAAAATAGTTATTACCAGATCACTGCATATTATACTTGATAGTTATGGTATATCACTATAGTAACAGGTATGCAACTACCTGGCAATAAATAAAAAGGCAAAAAAATACCAATATATATTTTATAGATTTAATTTTGACTCAATATTAGGGGTACCTCTACCATCACAAATAATGCACCTGGAATTGGGCTGAAAGCTTAGTGCTTTATTATTGATTATTATATACCAACTATTTCTACTTACTAGAATTATCATCATTTTTTTCTCTATCAGATACTGACATATTACTATCTGATTCATTTTGTGACTCAGCACTGGATGATATATAGATTGCTATCTCTTTTGCAGCTGCTGATTCATAATTTTCTAAATTTAAACAAAATATATAATAGACCAGCTATTTCTACCTAATAATTATATGTTTTATTCAATTATTATTTTGAATACAATTTTAGAAAACTGAAACTTACCAAATTGTTCTAAAACTTTTACGGGATGTATAGACCAATTTGAAGAGGGCTTTGGGCCTTGCAAAATTGTCATCGTTGTAACTCTATTTTTGGGCCAAAAACAATTTAGATGACCTGTCTTAGATTTCTTAAGCCAATTAATAGGCAGTACTGAATATTTATTTTCAGATTCAAAGTACCCTATTACATACTAAAATCATTGTCAGTAAATTATTACATAGATGCAAATAATAATAATTGTATATAATAAAAACAATTCTACATACCTACCACCTATAGAATTATAAATTTTAATGTATAGTTTATAAATGTTTAATATATTTAGGTAGATACTTATTATAATAAATTATACATAATATTATATTATCAATATCAATGATAAATTTGGAAAATTTAAAATTATTTCTGCTTATTGATACAAAACAGAACAATAAGTACCTACCCATTGAAATATGTTGAGGTACCTCAACAATGGCGTACAATTTGTGTATGCCATCAATATTATATGACCAAATTAATTATAAAACAATTAATACATAATAGTTATATATAATTATAATTAAGTAGGTATAATAACAGGTAATTTTTTTATCATAAACCACTCATAATTACAAAAACTAATATTTATTTTACCTAACTTAATGTCATTAAAAATAATTTTTTAACATTTTTTAACTTTTTAACTTTTTACCTTCTTTAGGTTTTTTAAGTTTTTTAACTAAAAATAGTAAAAAAAACCTTTGATAAAAAATAAAAAATGTAATAAAAAAGTTTTAAAAAATATAGTTTTTTAATGAATAATAATTATGTATCTAAAAAAAATTTCAATATTTTAGTAATTTTTCAAATAATGAGTGGTTCATGATAAAATAATCACCTGGTAGGATATTAGTAGATAACCAGATAGGTAATGAATATTCATATTTACCTTAGTCTTCTCGTTTATTGTATTATTTTGTTCATCCATAATGCCGTATAGCTGTATAGGTAAAAATAATAAAAAAAACTAAAACGACACTATTATAGGTGTTAAACAGACAGGCGTAAACCGTTAAACGCGTATTGGCTAGTCTTCGTCGCCAGTCAAAAAGATAATAATAATACTAAGAGGTACCTATAGTAGGTGGGTAATTATTATATTAATAAATAGGTATAACCTTTTAACAAACTGTACCAGCTTTATAGGTAGCCAAATTATAGTTTTTTTTTATGATAGACTCATCAATTATTCATAAAAAAATATTATGGACATAGAGCCATAGAGGTTATGTTTACGATAATATACAGACAGTTATAGGAGCGTGGTTATAAACCTCGCATAGCTATCGCTGGGAAGTTCGATACGCGCAATATGCATTTGATAATAATAATAATTTTTTAACTGAAATAACCTCCATGCGATGTGTATGCGATTCACTAAATTTCTAATTTTGCACTATTCCATATAAATCTCTGCTACATCTAATATATACCTCGTATGGTGATCACAATTAAATGTAGCTGAGAAGTTTGAAATGTATTATACATATTATACTCAGTATGATTTCTATGAGATGTAACAATGGAAGTAACATGTACATCCTTCCTTTGAAATCCCTTGGATATGAATTTTGTTACCAATTTTTTAATCATTTTTGTTACGTTCATAATACATTGCATGGATATTATATTTGAGAAGTTAAATTCTATTAATTTAGAATATCTTAGATACGTATTATAGATGTTTGTTGCGAGGTTGCATTTAAGACTATAAATTGACCATTTCTGCGAAGTGATGTTTATCCCATGGCACAGTGGGTACCTAGTTAAATTTAATTGTATACATTTAAACTCAAACTACACGTGTCTCTAATACTAAATACAACAACATGGCAAGTTATTTTCTAATAAACAAGTGAAACTAAATAAATCATAATACCCAATTTTATTAATACAACAATAAAAAATTTATTTATTTTTAATTTTAAAATTAATTTTGACCAACAAACAATTTTCGAAGTTTTGGTCACTTATTTTGTACATATATCACCAGCAACACTAAATAGGCGCTCTACTGAAGCACTTGATGGCAATGCAATATTATATTTTAAGAATATATTTTTTATGATTGGCATGGTATTTAAAATTAGCAAGTCTCCAGAGAATGGTGTTATCAAATATCGATCAATTTCTGTGTTGTGCTGTTCTACTTCTACATCATCACCATCGAAAAGAAAATCATCTTCGGATGCAGGTTGCACATTGTCATTGTCAATACCTGTTATTAAAGTTAATAGTTTAATGACATTTATCTTAAATATCAAATTTTAATTAATCACCTGTAATTGACTGTAGGTGCTCTACTTCAGCCTTAAAGAATTCCATACCTTCATCTCTTTCAAAAAGTGACATACCTTTAAATTTTAATTTTGGATGAGAGGCCGATGATAGTATAATTGGTATTTCTTTAGTCATACTTTGAATCGTAAATTTATACCGTCTAAACAAGCTTTTGCTAAGTTTTTGCATTTACCTGCCAATGATAGTTCTGTAAGTTTCCTTTTCAGCCAACTGATAGTTGGTATTAGATAGCCCATATCCATATATTTATCTCCTTGGAGAATATCCAATTCCCTTGATAAAGGTTCCATAATCTAAACATAAAAAATAAATAATAATTAATATAAAATGTTAAAAAAAAATTATTTTTATTTAAGACTTTAGTATTTACTTTGCAATAATCAATCATGAAAGCTAGATCATTTTTATCAAATCTTGGTATACCAGATTCATCACATATACGTTGAACCTTCCCTGTGTGCATTTTAAAGAACATGACATCTCTTAGATGTCAATTTTGTATCTCAGATTAACTTCACTAGTAAATGTATACTAGAAGTAAAATAGCAGTCACAAACTCACATCACTGTTTTCCTAATTATCATACATCTCTAAGACGAGTTCTGTAAGTTGTGTATAAGAGGTTCAACATAAATGTTACATATACGTCAACCATAATAAGATTATCAACCTCTCCCTGATGTCTCATATTAGGTTGGTTGCGATGATAGAATTAACCATAAATATTTTATAAATAATATATCGCTGGAAAATACGTCGCACAGACTTCACAATGTGCTATGCAGTAGCGCACTGCCGCCACGGCGCGCTGCAGTTTGGCGATACGCATTTGTTGTGTCTCACTCATCTCTGAAATGTCATAATAGCTATTAGCTTATAATCACATCGTGTCATCAACTAGCTATTACAATTACATATTGCAGTATATTACTATATTATACGTAGGTACGCTAATTAGATACAATCGTCAAGAGACAAGAATCAAGATACAATAATGGCTGCTATCCAAAAACAGGTAATTAAGTAACAATTAGTAATAATATATTCAGCTTAATTTTTATTTTGTACCTCTACCGATGGCGCACAGTGTGTCCAAAAGAAAATATGCCGGTCAAAATATTTTGGCTGCAGGCCTGCATAATACTTGAACTGCTGAACCTATTTTTTTGGTCAATATCTCTATTTGAGAAATTGTAATAATAATTTTAAGACTTTCTACTAATACGCTAATAATAAATATAATATTTTTTAAAGTATATCAATAAAAAATATTAAAATACCATATTATTACATAAACCTCCTACCTATTCATTATATAAATTTAAAGACAAATGAATTACTTTGTAAATCGAGTGTACACTTGTACGCAGCATCAGAAAAATTAATATGCGTCTCAAGCCAGTTGTGATTTTCTTTCAAAAATCGGTCATTCATTCTCGAAGAAGAATTCCATTTATCAAAATATCTGTAATGTATTTAAATTTTAAAAATAGAATCAAAACCTAAATTATTGATTAAGTACAATAGAAATATATTACCTGTTGAAAAATGATGTATTTAAATTTTTTTTCACAATATTAATTGTATCTTGTAATTCGATTGCAATCAATTTTTAAAATGTTTAACACATAATCAAGTACAATTTATTTTTTTTGTACAATCGATATTGATTTTGCTTCTTTTTAAAATTAGTTTGTGAATCATTGCGCGTGTAATAGTTGTTTTAGAAGCCATATTAAATTAGAAATTGTAAAATCCGAAAAACGTTGAAATCGCGGAACACAAAGTTTAACCATACAGCAACGAAAATTGTGCAACTATGTGCAGCTAATGTAACCGAAATATTTATCATTTGACCATATTATAATAGAATATTATCGACACAACGTGAAACTCGAAGAATAAACATACTTAAATGATAAGTTTATCTGTTTTAGTTAGTGATTAAATTATAATGTTGGTTATAGGCATAATAATGATATTTTAACAGGCATCGCACATTTATAAAATTATCAATAGCATCATTAGACCCCAATTATGTTATAATATTAATTATTACGTACAAAAATAAATTATATAAGCTAAATTAAAAAAAAAAAAAAATCTGTATATCAATATACATATTATGATTATATCAATTTCTTTGCATATTTTGTAATAGTAAAATCAATATTTTGGTTTCAAAAATACACATCATAAGTCCTCAGATACTCATGAATATAATCGCATGATTAGAGAAACTAAATTTGGACATTTTAAATGAACCTTTTTGACCGGCATAATTTGATTTAGAAACACTGTGTGGCGGATGTATGCGGCGATGTGATGATGTCCCCCTCTTGGACTTCAAATCCAATAAATTGCCATAATTACGGACAAGTTTTCTTTGTACCTACCTACCTAATTAGTTTCTCAAAATACCCTTATCCCCCTCCTGCTTAAATAAGCTTCAAATCCTCCCATAACCTATACTGGCGACTGGCCAGTACCGTACGTACATATACGCCGCATACATATGCCTACATAATGCTATCATAAATAAAATGTATTTTCAATCGCTCTTTATGTATGTTTATGTAGGTAGGTACGTAGGTACCTACTTATACCAATAAATAAAAGTTATACATGAATAGATAAACTATAAGCTAATTGAACAATTTAAAAAATGTTTCTTATGAAATATTTACATAATATTGGTAAAACTAAATTTGTAAAAACTCAATATAGTCAATACTGATTTCAAAATTAAAACTGTTTAAACTGTATTAGGTACTATGACTATTTTATTTTAACATTTAACATCAAATTATATACAAAATAATATACATCATTATACCTGAAATGTATCTCACCCTGGTTTTAGTGGCTTATTGGATATTTTCGAAAGGAAAATCAATACTCAGTAGTGCCAAACAATTGGATAGTTCAAAAAAATGATAATAAACTATACTGTAAATGGCCAACAAAACAACGAGTTACACCTAGCATGTTATCTGTAGCCTATGATCTTTTGACAGATTATATGTTATATCCAATAGAAATTCTTGAAAATTATGGTATGTTATATGTGGCTCTCTTAAACTATTATTTTAAAATAAATATATTTAAGTACCTATGTATTTGTAAAATAGATACATATGATGCTGCTGCTAAACGAGAAGAGGACATTTTTTTGTCTAGTTCTGAATCCGACAGGAGCTTAGGTCGGGGCAAACGGATTAAAAAACCAAATCGAAACATTATTGATAATGGAAATTCTGAAAGTGATTCTGGTAATAGTTAAACATTATTTTATTATTAAATATATCAATGTTAAATTTTTAGAATTATTATTTCATTATATTGTACATTGCTTTGCATCAGTTTTCCAAGACTTTCAAATAATAACTTATAATTTATAATATTGTCACTCATGTTCCTCTCTAGAGTATTTATGAGTAAAGTGCAACTCATTTAGGCATTTATTTTTATTTTTTAGGTAGTATTAATGATTCACCATTAAAAGTGTATGGCAATGGGAATAAGATATCTGAAGAAAATTTAACAAATTCTCAAAATAAACTTAAAAAAACAAGTGCTCTAGAAATTAATTTAAGTTCAAATGTAGTTTTAAAAAAAAAACCATCTGAGGTAATCTTATTATCTCCTCCGAGAAAATTAAAAAAAGTTGATTCACAAGAAGTTACTTATTCAAGTCCAAAGAATAACTTTATTTTGAATAATGTTAATCAATATTATGGTGATAATATTGAAACTTGTAAGTGTGCACCTATCTATTGAATGTAGTCAAATATAATTGTATTCGATAATCATGTGCCATTGACTGATTTAACAAATTGTCTAAATAATTTGGTCATACAATGGTTGGTAATTTTTTTTTCTACAGCTGCTGCAGTGTTTGAAGCTTCAATTAATATTGAAAAAACAAATTTTTCTACCAGTGTTCTACCTGAATTAGATCCTAATAATAGTATTTCTGTAGAAAATATTTCAAACAAAGATACAGTTGATACAGTTAAACAGGCTTCTTATTTCCGCAGACCTTTGTTAAATGCTATGATGAGCTATAACAATAATTATGAAAACATAGAAAGCAATATATTTAATGGCAATTATGGTTTGTCACACTGTCACCATAACTAATAAGTAAAAAATAATAAATATGTATTTTGTTATCATACAATTTGTTTTAGGAAATCAAGATGATATTGACACTTCATTAAATCTCGGTGTTGATGAAGTATTACCTCCTGTAACAACCACTAGTATGAGTAATAATTTAGTTCCTTGCTTAGACAACAACGAAATAGACAAAGGTATAACAAATATTAAAATTAATTATTTAGCAATGATAATACTATTATTAAACTTAATATAATATAATTTATATTAATGTTTTTAGCTGAAATTAAGTTTAGTAAATAGTAATGAGAGAGGAAAACAAATATTTACTGAGTGTATCTGTAAGAGAGAGGGGGTTTAAATATTTAGAAGTTAGAAATCTGTCAAAATATGTAGGCACCTACTGTATTTTTATTTTGAAAATCGATTATTTAACAAATACATAGTAATACCTAAGTATATACCTAAGTAGTAAGTTATAAGATTTAATAGTTATTTTTATTATATTGTGTCTATGTGTGTACTAAAATAATTACATTATAAATTAATTGATCATTATATAAAGTATTAATTTTGATGGTTTTAAATAGGTAATATATCACAAATGTTAGCTTTATTGAAAAACATAGCAGAATATAATTTTACAACTATTGCGTACATGAAAAGATTAGATGGAAGATTAGACAAAATTGAAAAGGCAATAAGGGATATGAGTTATGGTCGTAATAATGTTACTCAACTAGATGATGACTTTTTAACACTATTTCCCATACCTGATATTGACTCTTTAAAAAATATTGAAGAAAAAATTGAAAATGATGAAGAATTTAAACTAAAAATGGTAATTTTTTATCATTCTAATTTAATTTGGCACGCACTGTTTGAATTTTTTTCATTACAGAATAACTTGGTTACGTCAATTGATGGCACAGATGTAAAAAATTTTGTAAAACGTACAGCTATACGTTTATTTAGTAATGATTTATCTTCAA